TATTTTTGTCGCATGTTGCATTTGCTGAAGTAGGCTGGTTCTGGGCAAAGTCGCACCTGCGGACCACTCGGTGCAGGTGCGAGAGTCGCGGGTGCGAGGAATGAGGTGCAGAAGCGGAACTGGAAGGTTGGCACTGTGGTCGCAGCAGCGAGAAAACTGGCGCACATGCGCTGTCGCAGGTGCGATGAATTGGAGCGCAAACACGACGAGCTACGTAGGAGCAGAATTGTTTTACCGCAGGTGCAAGGGGTACTGGGCCAAGTTGCTTTCGCAGAAGCGAAGAATTTTGCCACAGAAGCAAACGTCACAGAAGCGACCTATTGTCCGCAAATGCGAACAGTGCTGGGCAACATGCTTTAAGTGCGAGGGTTCGATATTTTTACCCATTTTTGGAGCTCGGTTTGGGCGGCTTGGGAGAGGAAATTCATCACGTGGATTGGGGTAAGCATTCTTGACTCGTTTGTGATTGTATTTCACGGATTAATCTTTATTTTTGGTAATTGGAATTGGGGGGGAGGGGGGGAGGTAGGAATTGTCTAAATTTTCATAAAGTGAATTTTTTAGTTTTGAGCATCGATTCAGAGTCAGATTTGAGTGAAACTAGTATGGTTGGACTCGTAATTGAATGAGTTATCGGATTTTGTGAGTTTTTCGGGTTCCGAGGTGCGAGCCCGGGTTTGACTTTTGTATTGACTTTGGACTTTTGATTAAAGATTCGACCTCTATAGATTGTGTTTGTTTCCTTTGGCATTATTTGATGTTCTTGAGTTGCTTTTGGCTAGTTTTTATATGGGCTGGTGTTTGGATAGGGTCGCGCATTGTAGCAAAGTTATGTTGGGATATGATCCTTTGTGTTAGATTCGTGTGTTTTGGTTCTACAGTGTGATGGGTTCTTAGCATTGCGTTGTGGTGGTACTTGTTGAGCTTGCGGAATAGTTCTCTCATTTGAGTCATTTTTTATTTTTGAGTGCATTTGAATTATTGCGTATTGGTGCACGGATTGCACGGTTTGTGGCTCTGGTAGTATTGGTGTGGCATGTCTGTAGAGTAGCTTGTATTTGATGAGATGAAGTCTTTGGGCCTGAGGTGATTGCTATCAAATTTGATTACGGTGTGTTTGGAAGAGTAATATCGGAAGTCGGATTAGGATTTGGCTTTGGTTCTTGTCGGACGAGAGAGGGCTCCATGACTTGTTGATCTGATGAGTGATTATGAGTTTTTGTGTGTTTCTTTCATTATCGATAGTGTACGAAGGTTTTGGAACGAGGTTTCGTTTGAGATGAGGTTTATTACTGGTACCGGGTGTGTTTGAGCAGCTATTGCGGTCGGAAGTTATTGCTATAAGTATTCGAGTAATGTGGTATATTATGTTATTACATCTTGGGTTAAGATTATTGCCCGATATAGCATATTCAGACTTATACAGTGTATAAATGTGAGATTCGGGTCTTGTGAGGGATTACGGATGTTGGAAATTGGGTTCTAAGGCTTACGGACTAAGGTTAAAGTAATGATCTTCAGTTATGTTGTGTTGTCGAGCTTATATGGAGTAGGGTGACGTGGGATCACCCCCGGGTATGTGCATGGTAAGGTCACACGGCGGTTTGATTGCTTTGGAACGACTCTTGGCACATTCGAGGACGACCGTATGTTTAAGTGAGGGAAAATGTAATGACCCGACCGGGTCATTTTGAGCATTTGCATTCCGTTAAGCTATTAGAAGCCTTGAGCAGCATCGTATGATGTATTATGACTTGTGTGAATCACCGGTTTTGATTTTTAGATTATTCGGAATTGATTTGGAAAAATAAATTTTATGATTTAAGCTTTAAAATTTGAAGAGTTGACCAAGTTTGACTTTTTAGTATTTGACCTCGGATTGGAGTTTTGATGGTCCAGTTAGGTCTGGATGGTGATATTGGACTCGGGCGTATGCCCTGATTTGCATTTGGATATTTCTAGAAGGTTTCGACGCTAATTGGCAAAAGTTAAAAATTTGAAGGTTTGAAAAGTTCATAAATTTGACCGGGAGTTAACTTTGATGATATCGGGTTCGGATTGTGGTTCCGGGAATTTGAATAGTTTCGTTATGTCATTTGGGACTTGTGTACAAAATTTGAGCTCATTACAGGTTGATTTGATATGTTTCGGTGCGAGTTTTGGAAGTTGAAAGTTCAAAAGTTCATTAAGTTCGATTTGAGGTGTGATTTGTCGTTTTGATATTGTTATGCATGATTTGAGGCCTCGAGTAGGTCCGTGTTATATTATGGGGCTTGTTAATATATTTGAACGGTGTCCCGAGAGGCTCTAATGAGTTTCGGATAAGGTTCAGATCATTTTTGTCGCATGTTGTATTTGCTGAAGGAGGCTTGTTCTGGGCAAAGTCTGGTATGGTCGCACCTTCGGACCACTGGGCGCAGGTGCGAGAGTCGCGGGTAGGAGGAATGAGGCACAGAAGCGGAAATGGAAGGCTGGCAACGAGAAAATTGGCACACTTGCGACAGCGCAGGTACGATGAATTGGAACGCAGACGCGACGAGCTTCGCGGGAGCGGAATTGTTTTACCGCAGGTGCGAGGGGTACTGGGCCAAACTGCTTTCGCAGAAGCGAAGAATTTTGCCGCAGAAGCGACCTACTGTCTGCAAATACGAACAGTGCTGGGCCGAATGCTTTAAGTTCGAGGGTTTGATATTTTTACCCATTTTTGAATTTTTGGAGCTCGGTTTGGGCGACTTGAGAGAGGAAATTCACCACGTAGATTGGGGTAAGCATTCTTGACTCGTTTGTGATTGTATTTTACGGATTAATATTCGTTTTTTTGGTAATTGGATTGTGAATTTTAAAGAGAAAATTGGGGGGTTTTGTCTAAAATTTCATAAAGTGAATTTTCGAGTTTTGAGCATCGATTCGGAGTCGGATTTGAGTGAAACTAGTATGGTTGGACTCGTAATTGAATGAGTTATCGGATTTTGTGAGTTTTGTCGGATTCTGAGGTGCGGGTCCGGGTTTGACTTTTTTGGTTGACTTTGAGCTTTTAAGTAATTGAGATGTAGTCCATGTTAGAAACCATGTTTAGGCTATATCATTATTCTATTGGGTCCCACTAAGGTCATATTTATTGTGAAGTTATTTGCTTAAATTGTAGTTACATACTCAGTCATACTCGTTCATTTGCATATCATATCTCAGTCTCTGTTGCTATTTATTGATACTTCATATCATCATTTTGGGCTGATTTTTATGTCATTGTGAGCCCGAGAGACTAGAAAGATTGATGACTGAGTTGGGGCCTAAGGGCCAGATTGTGAGTGGTATTGATGGGATCGGGTTGCATGCCGCAGCAGGATTTATTATTCTTGGGCTGGACCTGCCCTGTATTATTGATTCATGATGGTATCGGGCTGCACGCCGCAGCAGGTTTTATTGATTCATGCCATGATTGGCTTATTATAGCACTTGGGCTGGATCTGCCCCTCCGGAGTCTGCACACCCACAGTGAGTGCAGCTGCTATTGATTCATTTGGGCTGGATCTGCCCTGTATAATGTTGAGTGACTGAGAGTGTTGAGGGTTGGATCTGCCCTGTTCAGTGCTGAGTGGCTAAGTGTGATGAGTGATTGAGTGTGATGAGTGGAAAGTATGAGACAGTGTGATTGAGTACTCTGAGAGTATGCATATAGTTTTATCACTGAGTTGCATTGCATTCGACATGCACACTTGACATACATGCATAGAGATGCATTTTCCTCATGTTGTACGGTATTGCGTCATTCATGACTTCACATACATATTGACATGTAGACATAGAGGTGTATTTTCCTCTTGCCATTTGAAAATGAAACATTTACCTGTTGAAAGTTTTGGGGAATTTTTAATTAAACTATTTATCGTAAATACTAACCCAACCGTAATTATTTTTTAGACTTTGTAATTTCAAGTTCACAACTATTGAAGTCTCTGATACATCGTAAATCAAACCTATAAACATATTAGGACGAGTAAAAATATTATCTATAAATAAGTTTACAAATGACAAGACTACATTGAAAATAATATAATTATAGTAATAATAACTATAATGTACTTTAATTTTTTTGCAGAACTTTTACATGTTAAAGCACAAACCCAAGTGAGCTTAAATAAGATATTGAAATTTATATATCAAAATTATACTAATAAATCATATGTATCATAAGAAATTGAAGGATGGAATAGTAGGGAAAAAATGTATTGTAAACAAGTTGTCATTTTTTTTTCTTTTCTTGCATTTAGTTTAACAAATGATGATGCTTCACTATATTTTTTTATATTAAATTATTTATTGTAAGATATTAATTTAACGGTAGTCATTTTTTAGACTTTACATTGTCAATATTAATTTTTTGGCAGCTACAAGACCAACTTTTTTATTCTCTTTTGTGTTTTGTTTTCAGTATTAAGTCACTAAAATAACAATAATTTTTATAAGACCACATATGTCCTCATAAATCACCATAAAGCATCTAAAAACTTATGTCAAACATGATTTCTTCATTTATTGAGCTAACGAAATGGCAACATTCAGCATTTTCTAGAATATTATTTTTAACTTTTGTTATATAATTTATATTAGTCAAATACTCTTTCTGTCTCATATTATCAGTCGTGGTTACTAAAAATAGTTGTCTCAAATTATTTATCACTTTAGAAGTTCAAAACAAAATTGATTATTTTTTTTCTTTTTTACTCTTAGTAATAATTATCCCTGAAGACTACAAACACCTCAATTATGGATAACTTTGTTCAAATACCAATGAAGAAAGATTAAATATTACGACATGAATAAGAGTAAAGTAGTCAAAATCTCATCCTAATTAATTTTTCTTAAGAGGCGTGTACAAGAGAATCATGACAGATAATATGAGACGGACGTACATAGTTTGATAATATTTACGTAATTTTAAAAAAAATATGTATTTATTAATATAGGTACACATGCGTTCCATAAAGCTAGTTAACATAAAACCATAAAACTCCATATAGCTTTTCAGAATTAAACTAGCAACATTTCCAAGAAAATTCAAATTATTCCAAAGAAAATAGATGATCTACCTAGGAGCATAAGACCTCGTACTACTCCAAGGGAACTTTGCTGCTGCAGCACCAACATCTGAAGAACGTTCTCCACCATGTTCACGATCACGACCACGACTGAATCTCCTCTCTGAACTACTCCTCATGTCTCTCTTCTCGTCAAGCCAATGCATCTTCTTAGGCTCATCATCAACAATGCTAGACTTAGATTTCTTGCTCATATTTTTCTTTTCCTCTTCGATCATTCGTATAGGATAAAGATCCCTCGATATAGACAAAGGGTTCTTAAGTGTAACATAAGCTTTTTTGTAGTCTGGTTTAGCAATTAATAGTCCACCTCTCTTCTTCTTCTTTCCATCCATGTTTAAAGTTTGGACCTTTTCAACTTCAAAGCCGTACAATGACTCCAATACCCTCTTTATCTCAATCTATACATAAAATTCCAAGAAAAAATTAAAATCTTTTGTATCAGAGAATCCCGAATTATTGAATAGAACAAAATGAATATTGAAGATTCATATAGCTTATGTTGGGATTGAAGGGTTGCCTGCCATTGTATTTAAAAACTACTTAACTTAAAACATTTCGTTTTACCTTAATAAGATAAATTTATAGTCATACAAATACCTATGGCTTGTTTCAAAAGTATTTTTTTTTTTTTAATTATGTTTCGAGCCAAACGCCATAGCATAAAATGGGATAATGATGTGAAATATAATAAAAAAGATGTTACCTTGGAAGCAGAGGGGATGGTTTTGAGGGAGATCTCAGTGATGTTGGAGAAAGAAGAAGGCATGAGAAGCTTAATCGGAAGATTAGCGAAGTTTACAACTCTTCTTCCTAATCGACTTCCCATGATTCTTTTGATTTACGAATTCGGAGATGTGCAGATTGCAGTCGTGTAGAGTGATACGGAACTCTCAGCAATGGCGTCTCGAATAGTCAGTCTAGGGAAAGAGGGTAAAACTGTGGGTTGGGCCTAAAATGTGCGTGGGCTTTAGCACTCTACTACATTTTTTGTCCACTGCCTAACAGCAAATAAAGCAGGGGAAAAGGAAGGTGATGTGGCTTTCTCATGATTCCTACTTATCTTTTTTCTCATTTTTGGCCTTTTTTGTTTATTTATTTTATTTTTTAAAAGTTTATAAGTGTCTGAAAATGCATTAAAAGGTGCGACTTTACAAAACAACCATTTTGACACCTTTTAGCTTCTAAAAAATGGTTGACCTTTCATTTAATAAGAAACGGTTCATCTTTTAGAATTATTAATACGTTTCCTTGGTTTCGAGAACGTCTAAGTACACAAAGCACACCGACCAAATTTTGTAACAATGAAGGAGAATGGAAGAGGAATAGATAGATTCTTATTGTTCACTTGACTTGATGACTTCTATAAGTATTTCTTTAAACAAACTTATTTAGAACTGACACCGATAATTTATTCCAGGTAGTAGGTTTGGCTCTCACAGATATGCACTTATCTCCTATAACTTTGATGATCTATCTTCTCCATTCTGCTTTTCTTTAACTATACTGCACATTTTTTTAAAAAAATCTTTCTTCTTTTACGAACGTTTGTGAAACTTTTTGCATGGGCCGAGGTTCTTTAACTATATTCTTTAGAAAATATTCAAAATAAAAGGAAGTTAGTCGTTGGTATTTCAAATTCTTCAAACTAATGAATAAGTTGAGCTTACGAGATCTTATTTACTTATGCAAAAAGTTTTAGATTTTGCGATTATACTATAATTTACGGTGGGAAGAGATCGCAAATCATAATGTAAAGTTCTCTTGACCATTTTAACTAGCATCGATCTGTAAATTCAGGTTGCTTACTATTGATTATTCTTAAAAGAAAGAATTTTGCACAATTAAAATTTACTGTTTATACTAAGTTAAATTTTATCCCTCCGAACATTCTTTCGTGTGTGAGTGCCTACGTATATCCAGATTATAGAAGTGATGACGTGATATCTCTCTAAATATAAGAAACTGCTTCATCTTTTTTCTCATGCTATTTAAATCTCATTAAATTTATCCTATAAATTTAAAGGAGAAAATAAAATACTATCCCAAGAAATTGATTTTAGCAACGAAATTTGCCACTGATGGTTTTAGCTTGGCAATATTAGCGAAGAATTAGCCGATTAGCGATGAAATTAGGCATTTAGCGACAGAAATCCTATTTAGCCCTGGAATTACATAGTTTAGTGGCAGAAATTAATGTTCCATCACTAATCTCATTTTTTTGATAGTGACGGGAGAGAGAGGTTGATAAAAAATGTACAAAAAAATAAAGAAGCAGCAAATCACTAGAAGTACAGTACTGCCCCTTCCATTGTTATCACCTGGATATAGTCGTCTTAAGTTTAGGTTCCTTCCATGAAAGATTAAAATTTGAATGGGGAAAATAAAGTAGGGTTTTTGAGAGGTTTAAGTTAATATTCCTTTCTGAATTCACTTATGGTTATATATATATATATATTCTTGCACTTTATTGGAATTCCATTCTTTTGCACTACTTATTTTCAAATGAAGTATTTACTTTTCTCAAATATTTCTTAGATTGAATTAAGATGTCCTAATCTGTTTCAAATGAATAACTATAATATTGCTTAATATTATAAGTTTTAATGTATTAAACATATGCATTTTAATTTGGTTGTAATCTTGTGTTAATAGAAAACTATTTCATAAATTAACTCAATTTTTTATAGACTGCGCGAAGCGCAGATAACTTTACTAGTATATTATACTACTTGCGCTTGCACGCCTGTGAAAAATACCGATTAATATCAATGTATAACTTTTGGTAAAAGAAAATCAATCTGTCCTATAATAGTTTTGTTTACCCTAAAATTCGAGTAACAATTAAACTTATTTAGTGATTTTAAGGATACGTGATTTAATCCAATACCAATTGATAAACAAGGAATTGAATAGATAATCTGAATAGTAAAATAAATCAAACCAGTGTTCTAGCAGTATTTTCGACCTCGATTCGAGATGGCCTCGAGGTTGGGTAACAAGAACCGTAAAGAATAGAAAGAAAACAATGATGAACAGTAATGGATAGTAAGTGAAATAGAGAGCAGTGTTTGTGTATATGTTTATCAGTGAATCAATCCCCCCTACAAATGAATGGGATCCCTCTTTATATAGTAGAGGAATCCTAAATAAGGTACAATTCTAATAACGGAAACAACTCTCATGATTGGCGTCAATAACCGCTTGATTCGATCTGTTCCGGGATTTTCGCCGAGATCTTCTGTCGGTTGCTAATATCTCGCCATTCCGTTATTATGCCTTACTCGAAATCGGTCATGCTCAGTCTCGATCTTCAGCGAGCACTTCGATCTTCATGCTCCATACTCTGCCATTGAGCTCGAGCCTGGTCTATTACGAGCTTACTCTCTAGGCAGCTTCCCGTGCCTATGAAATCTGACATGTCCAATTTTGACCGTATATAGATAATCCCCGCATTTCTTGGAATAAAATGATAAGAAACGGTTTAAGCCTTGATTTTCTGAAACATCGATCATGACATCGTCCTCATGAAGTAAGTGACGGATGTGATCGAAACGTCCTGTCGGTTCAGTTCCCCAAATCATTAATGCCTGTCAGTTAGCGATCGGCCACTAGCGCCACCGAACCGTCGCCATGAGCCTATAAATACTCGCTCCTTCATTGAATCAAACTTTACTTTTGCTCTAATCAAACCTCTAAGTCTTCTCACTCTTTCCGTATCCTCCTTTTCGCCGTCTGTAGAGCCACCTTCGTTAGCACCAAAACTACCAGTTTTTCATCTTCCTTCGCTTTTCTGTACTTATACAAATAGAGAAAACCTCAAAGACCGTACCGCAAAAGGAGAAAGCTTCTTGCTCCTCTTTCCGGCTGTCCGAAGGTAAGGCGCCGGTGGAGCCGCTTCCCCACGAGTATGTTCCCGGTCCGTGTACTCTAAAATCTGATTTCAAGGTCGAAAATTCTTCATCGATCCTAGGCCGATGTGAGCATGTGTCGATGTATATGTGCTCGATAACGAAGAGCCACCTCGAGGGCATGAAGAGGGACTGTAACTGGGGTCCCGAGGTCGTGGTGCAAATTCCTACTCCCGAAGAGAGCATCACCGCTTATGTGGAGGGGTTCTTAAGTGTTTACACTTACCCCTTCACATTGGGTCCCCACAACCCAGTGATTATTGATCTCTATAAAAGATATCAGTTCACCCTCGGCTAAATCCACCCCTCTATGGCGCATAGTAATCATGATGCGCTTCTTCTCTAGCAAAGCCGAGGGGCTAGAGTTTACTCTAAATCACCTCATGCAGTTGTACCGGCCTCGAATATATCGAGGACTAATCAGGCTCCAATGCCGGGCAATAAAGGCCTTAATCTCGAGCATCGACGAGGACAAGGATCGGGGTTGGATGATCCATTTTATACGGGTGAGGACCCGCAACATTATCCCGGAAGAGAAGATGTCGTTCCCTGAGGAGTGGAACTTCGACCGTAAGTGATCTTTTAAACTTTGTTCTTCATACCTTCTTCGACTTTGCCTGATATCCCCTTTCGACATGCAACTATTCCTTGGATGCCTCAAGTGGTACCTGACCTCAAAGATTGGGTTCAAAAGTTAGCCTTAACTTCCACTTATGCCGAACGTGCATGGTGTGATTTGGCAAGGGGAAGATGGGAGGCCAAGAACCACGGTAAGGATCTCCTTTTTCATGTTCTGAAATACTTTTTATACTTCATTAATCACTAATTTTCTTTCATGCAGGCCTGACCAAGGATGCCATTTTGAGGCCTTCAAGTGGCAAGGAAGAAACTAAGTCCCCGGTTCCGAAGCCGGGGGAAGACAAAAAGAGGAAAACTGCCTCGCAGTCCGAGGACCCCAAGCCCAAACCTCAAAGGGTGAGGAGGAAAGTAATCGCTCTCACGATGGACTCGGTCCAAAAATTGAGAGACAAAGAAGAGGAAGAAGAGGAAAATGCCTCGGCACTGACGGTCCGACCTAGGAAAGCCGTCGAGTTCACCAAACCTTCTGAGCCAACGGCGGCTGCTAAAATTAAGCCTCGTGTCAAGGAGGATTCTAAAAAGAAATCGGGTGAGGATCCCGAATTACCAGAGGTCGAGATCGTTTCTTGGCCATCTGTAACTACACCGAACGGGGCTGGTTCTGAGACCCCGAAGATCGATCAGAGCGTCCCAAGCGACTTGCTCGGGACCATGACAGCATGTCACTTGCCTTCTCTTCCGACTTTTTCTGAGGAGGCACTAAGGGAAGCTCGAGAGTTGAAGACCCCTGATATAGGCATAGGCTCTAGTGTATGGGATCCCTTTTGGGATTGCTTTACTGGAGTCGATAATGCCTATGATATCAGTGACGCTTCTATTCTTTTAGAAGAGGCCCAACGTCTCTTATCTCGGATAAAAATCAGTTTACTGCACTTCTTTTCTTTATTCTTTTTTTCTCTAAATCTGACTTGTGTTTTCCTTTTTTGTATAGGCCTTCGCCAAGTTTTGAGCTGACCTCAGCCAGTGTGAAACCGAGCTCCAAAAGTTCTCGGAGGAGAGGAATGCTCTGAAGCTTCTTTGCAGCTAAAAAGACGAAGCTATAAAGGACATTCAAGGNGCGGCCAAAAAGACGAAACTATAAAGGACCTTCAAGGGGATTTGGCCAAGGCTCATGAGGAAGAGGCCGAGCTAGATAAGCAGGTGAGCATCCTTTTGATAAAGTATGAACTCGACCCAACTGTGGAGGCTAATACTTCATTATCTCAGCTGCAGTAAAAGGTTGAAAGGATCGAGCTGCTTTGGGGAGAAGTCGATCAGGTCAAGGCCGATTGTGATCAGTGGAAGGAGAATATGGACCGCCTGGCTATGGAAAAAGAAACTACCTTGGCCAAATTGTCATCGGCCGAGGTTCAACTTCGGGGCATCAAAGAGAAAAGTTCGGCCCAAGCCAAGAGGATCGAGGAGCTTAAAACTGGGCTTGCTGA